TAGGGCCGGGCAAAGCCCCTGCGGGCGAGCACAGCCGAGGCGCTGGAGGGGCTGTCGCTGCTGCATGCTGTCACAGCTCCCGCTTCCAAGCTGCCTCGCGAGCAGGGGCGACGAGAAAGTCGGAAGCGCGATTTCACGTCGCAGCGTGAAGATAACCTAGCAGGAGCTGCACCGCTGGCGATAGCCACGCCAGCGCGGGCAGGGCGGCACGATCTCAGCCCCTAGCGCGCCCTTTTCGGTTTGTAAAAGGAAAGCAATGAGGTATTTGGAACGTCAAGTGCTGTTTTTCCTTGCCAAGCCCTGACCCGTTTCCATTTTACGCCCCTAACAGGCACACAGGAGCCGCAGGGTGCCCGGGCCGTAACGTAGCCAGCAGCGGCCCTTCCCACGCACGGGGCCTACGGAACGGCCTGCGGAGAGCTGCCATCCCTTCCCCAGACACAATGGTACCGGCGGCATGCAGGCGTCCAGGAGCCCGCCGAGACGGTCAGCAATCCTCGCATGAGGCGAGGATGAAATCCAGCTTTTTCAGCCTGGACAAGGAAAGGCTTTGTGCGCTGCTGTCCACAGCTACCTCACCAGGCCGGGACGACGGAGCCTCTCACGGGTAGCAGGCACAGGTCAGAAGACAGGAAACTGTAGTTATCTGTAAGGGGGCTTAAATCTTTCTTTTTTTAAACCATGCTGGTGGTCAGTTAGTGGAACAGGTTGCCCTAATTGGCTGTGGAACCTTTGTCTTTGTAGTTGTTCAGACTGAGCTGGATGCAGCCCTGAGTAACCTCATCTAAACAGAATCACTGTGAGAAAGGGGCCGGACTAGATGACCTCTGGAGGACCTTCTCAACCTAAATTATCCTGTGGATCTATGAAAAAGTATTTCATTTTTAGTGATTAATTGAATTGCATTAGGTAAACACGAGGAATTTATTAATTTCTGTGTTAATTCACTGCACTGTATCTGTGAGCTGCCATTCGGTTGCACCGGATTATCGCCCTGCTCTGAAGTGCCTGCCTCATTTGCTCAGAACAGCTTCTGAGAGTAACCCAACGGTCAGCCGTTACCCTTCACGCTGTCTCGCCCTACCGGTCAGAACTCGGGGACGAGCAGCAAGGAAGACTCATCTTAAAGCATTCCTGTGCACCTCTGCAGTAACACCAGGCACCCAAAGCCTACCAACTCCAGAATGTTGCCAAATACTGACTTGCTACTCATACAGTCGTTAATAGTGATTTCAAGCAGATGGATGGTAAAATCTCATCTTTGTCAGCTGAAGAGCTGACAGCTTTCACAAGCATCCATGCAGCGTACCAGGTGCTTTAAACAAGATGCTGATGGAATCAGGATCTTGTACAGTTGTCACTGCTATGGTGACGCTCAGTGCCCTTTCCAGCCTTGTTTTAAATGACTGAAAATTCCTTTCCCTGTAACAAGCAGTTTTCCTTCCTCTCTTTCCCCCTCCAGTTTCTGGCTCCTTCACTTTCAAGTGTGTTAGCCAGCTCAAAAGCCTGCAATTTAATTCCAAACACAAGCAGCTCCTATGCCTTTTTTCTTAATAGCAAAAGACATCAATTGCTTGGAAGATAATGGTACAAATCCCACTAACGTAATCAAGCTTGACCTATTTTAAATGGGTTACATCCTTCATCCAGGCCTGTATCTGTTTTATTAACAAACCCCAAGCATGACATAGCTCACAGTACAACCCAAGGTGGCTATTACCACCACTGGGTTTTTGAAGCTCAAAGCACTGCAGTTAACAAAGCTATGAGACAGCTGCTTTCTTGGCTGCTGTAAGGGAACAAAGCAAGCTCTCAAAGCTAACAGGTATGAAGATGTGTCATCTTAACACCTGTGACGAGGATACCATCTTAAATTGGTATCTGATTCAGACAATAGAGAAGGTTCATTTTCTCCTACGCTTCCACCAAGTCAGAGGACATTGCCTTGCCAAGGTTACTACAGCCCATCAGAACCATGGTGAAGTTTGGGTACGCTGCCTACCCAGTTACGGAAGTGGACAGGTATGTGCTTCACAGGAAGAATTTAACCAATGGCCACTCGCTCCAGCAGTGAGGAATTACTAAGGGAACCCCTGTCTGCATGCCTAAGTTAATTACAAACCTAAATGGGCTTGAAGTAGATGCATGCCATCAGCTGCATCTGAAGCCTGTTCAACCTGTTACCAGTGTTGCAAGTGCTGCCGATTCGGTTGCAGCTGCAGAAGAAGGGCCATGCTGGGTCAAGAAACCCATTCTCAGTGAATGAGTGCAAGGCAGGACCTTCACAGCCATCCTTTTCCTGACAGCAGCTTCCGGCAATCCATGGTTTTGTTACTTCCGACCCAGGGGTTGCATGCGAACCTTTGTGTGCAAGAGCCACGCCACCCATGAAACCACCGTTCCCTTCTTTCACCCTCTGTAACCCCTCGCACCGTGTGCTCCACAACGGAAAGGCATTAGTCTTTGTACGCCACGTGCAGGCAGCACCGTTTCACACGCCCTTAGCTTGCCTCTCTAAGCTCAGAAACCTCTCTTCATGCCATCTGACACAGATGCAGAATAAAGGGGCAGTCACCTGCTGTTCTGCCCTTCAGGCGAGGACAGCTTCTCAAACGTCAGCCCCCTCGTCCCCGAGGGCGGAGCCGTTCATGGAACGCTAACAGAACGTGTGCTAGCACAGCAGATTGTCGAAGAAACCGAATGTTTTATGGCAAGAAGATGACTGTCAGTCTGCAAGACCAGACGTGGTTACTTCACAGGCTAATTCCCTCCAGCGTATCCCTCACAGCTGAGGAGAACATGGCAAAACTTGTGAAAGTTAGTCAGATGTTTATTCAGCATGACCAAGAGTGTCAAGTTAGCGCTTTCCACCAACCCGGGGAGCAGAAACCTTGACTGGTTTCACGATCTTCTGCTTAGGTGCTGCCTTCGTAGGAGCCTGCGGAGAAATGACAAAGCCTGAGTGGAGAGGCAACCCATCTGCAGTCCTAAAGTGCTCCTGGGTATTTAAGGTTCTTGAGGGCAGTTAGGCAGCTTACATCATCTATCAGGTTAGAGTAACGGTAACAGTTTGTTACACACATACCACCATCAGCCCACAACACGCATGACGCCACCGATGGCATTACTTCATAAATAACAACAAAATAGATGTTAGCATTCATCACCACACTGCTGTATTATGTACGTTTACAAGAATCAGTGCAAGTTTCTGGACAGCAAGATGTCACACCCAGACAAATCTTTAGCTATCAAGAATCTCTGACGTAGGGTCAGAGTTGTTTTACTGTAATATTTATTTTTTCTGTAAAAAAGGGTTCATTCTATTCTGCTGTTTGGGTATGTTTAACTTGAGTAGAAACGTTTGGTCAAGGTGCTTCCAGATAAAAATAGGTTTAAAAAAAAAAAAGCTTCTTCCAAGCACAAATGGGAATTTCCCATGAAGCACCCCATCAGAATGCTGTGCTACAGCACTGCAGATCCCATCTCATTATTTCTGTCCACCTGCTGTGTCTTACCTTTGCAGCAGAAACAGCCGTTTTCTTGGTGGCCTGCTTAGCCTTCTTGGCTTCTTTTGCAGCCCTGTTAATTCACACACAGAGTTACTCGTGTCTGCCAGACACTCTTGCTTTGTCCCAGCACTGCAAGATCTCCCTAAGATCAGGAAAGGAATGCACAGTTCCAGGTTTATCCTTGGCATTTGGTACCCTCTAGGGAGATGGCAGACAGCAGAACTGTGACAAAAGCAGCGTTTTCATGAAGAGAGAGGGCAAGTACAGGCCCTTCTCTGCTCCTCTCTCTTGCTGAGATTGCTCAGTGTTACCTCCAAATACACTGACTAAAAAAACCCAACAAAAACCACAACCAAAAAAGCACATTTACGAAACACGGAGCTCCTCTAGGGTTTTAAGCTCTAGCACAAAAAGCATTAACGAACTTTGAAAAGCCTGGGATAGCTCCATTTATCTCTGAATTCTCACCTAATAGCTTGTTCCCTCTGCGCCTTTCGTACTTCAGGTTTCTGGTTTCGCTTCGCCATAATCTCAGCTAGAGATGCACCAGTGATGGCCCTCTGAAACTTAACAGCACGACGCGTACGCTTCTTCTGGACCTCTTCCTAAAACGGCAGAGGATGAAGACAGACAATGAGTATCACAAGCCATGAAATAAAAGGCTACAATTGCAGAAACAAGCTGCTCTTTCACCGTTACTGGCCAGTCTCGGGCCTGGCTATACGAGCCACGCTTTGCTGAACACCGCAACTCCTAGTGGAAAATGTCACTTACCGACTGCCCTTTCTTGTGCTTACGCCTGTACAGCACAGTCCAGTTGATTTGCCGGGGGTTTCTCTTGGAAAGGAATGCAGACTCACATTTTGCGTTCAAGAACTGGAAAACCTGGGAAGAGACAGTATTTTGCGTCAGCGTTGTTTCTGTGGAAGGCATCAGTACAGTCTGCATTAACATATCCAGAATTCTTCGATTCGGTGGTTTTCGACAGCGATGCTTTTGTGTTTCTCTACACTTTCTCTGACAAAGCTTTAGAACCAATTACATGGTTTGGAATTTTCATTCAACTTATACACTGATGTCTTACAAGGCATTCCATTATAAGGAATTTAATTCTCTCACAATAAAGCCTAGCGTTACCTTTTTTTATTTTCAAACCACAGTGAAGCAGCTTGTTTTTTGTGAGGGAAGCTGCAAGTACTGCTTGCATCCATGGCTGCGCTGCATTCTAGGCACAACATGCACAGCCATATCCAGCCTCGTACTTTCCAAGTGCCTGTCCTGAAGGAACTATGCACTTCCTGTATGCGTAAACGAGCCCATTCCTGGTGTAAGCAACCAGTACTCCCCCCGGTTTCTTCCTGCATGGCTACGCTAACCCTCTTGCCTAGAAAAACTGGCAGAATGAGCAGCCTGTTTTGTTTTGAGCTAGACAATTAAATCTGAAGTATAAACAAATTCCCAGGAGAGCACCCGAGGGTTCAGCCAGTCCATTTACTCAGCTATCATTTCCTAGGAGATTCGGTACAGCAGGACTACTGCACTGGAATACTCAACCCCCAAACTCTCCTTTGTAGATATGGAAATCGTATTTCCATGTGACAGTCGTACCTGTGTAAGAAATGACAGCCCAAAAGGACTGCCGTCCCCGTTTTATCCCAGCGATCCGCACCTAAATTAGTTACAACTCCATCTGTTTACTTCAGCAAGTCTCAGCATTTGACGCAGCGTGTCAAAATAGTATTTTCTAAAGAACTTCGGTACTTCGGCCCAGATCCTTTCACACAGCCTTCCCAAACCCCGAGCTACAGCACAATCACGGTTCTCCCGCGGACC